CCCACCCCCCCTAAACCCACCACCACAACAAAAAAAAAAGAGAGAAAAGGGTGTCGTCGTCGTCGTTGCATTTCTTCTTGAAATAGTCTTGTTATAAAGGAGGAAATAGTCAGTTTTACCATTTTCATTCTCCGATGTTTGAGACTAGGGGTGGAAACGGGCGGTTGGTCGGATATGGGACGGGTCGAAAGCGGGTAATGAAAAAACGGATAAATTATCCTACCGACCCATATTTTATACGGATAAAAAAGGGTTGAATATCGTCACTTTTGGAGAATTTCTAGTCTCCTAAACTTGAGGAACCCTCAGTTTGAGGCTTTATAAATGTAAAAGTTAAACCCATTAGTTATTCATTGGTTATCCATTCTAAATGGATAATATGGTTCTTATCCATATTTGATCCGTTTTTAAAAAGTTCGTTATCCAACCCATTTTTAGTGGATAATATGGGTGGTTAAATGTTTTCTTTTAACCATTTTGCCATCACTATTTGAGACAATTTGGATTGGTTTTTCATTTTTTTTCTTTTGGGGATGTTAAACTCTGTGACTTGTGACCATGGTGAGAATGGTCACAAGTCAGTTATTTACCCCTTCTCAAAAAAATTGCACTATGACTAGTGACCATTCTCACCATGGTAGATTGTCTAGTAACAAGCTTGACAATTGTCCTCTACTTCAATGATAAATCTTAGAATGAGCTCTGTCACGACCCGGATTTCCCACCCTCGGGAGTCGTGATGGTGCCTACTGATGAAAGCTAGGCAAGCCAACCCTTAACTATTTTTAGCATTAACCATTTTACTTCTTTTAACAATTATCAGTAATATCATGATGACAGCGGAATAAAGTAAACAAGCGGAAGTCTTAAATTAAGGAATCTGAACAACAATGCGGAAAAATCAACATAAACCTCTACCCAAGAACTGGTGTCACATACTCACGAACTAATAAAAGTGCTAAATACAACCGTTTGAAAGAAAATATAATTGTTTGTCTCGGAATACATGAGATAACAGACTGAAATAAAAGATAGAAGAGACGTCGGGCCTGCGGACGCCTGCAAGGCTACCTCGGTTTCTCGCTGGACTGTAGCTAACTCCCGTGCTTCTGCAGCTGCTGTCCAACACCTGGATGTGTGCAAAAGAGCACAGAGTGTAGCATCAGCACAACCGACCCCATGTGCTGGTAAGTGCCTGGCCTAACCCCGGCGAGGTAGTGACGAGGCTAGGACCAGACTCCAGATAAACCTATATATATATACACACAATACAACAAAGATTCAACAGAAATAAACAATTAAAACCGGGGGAGGGAACATGCTTCAGGGGTAAAGATATAAATAGAATATCAGAAATAATAGAAGAGAAATCTACAGTCTAGCTTCTAACTCGGAAGCAGGAAATAAAGACAATTTTCATGTTTAGCTCATCTTGTTGCAGGCGTGCAACCCGATCCCATTTCTCGTATCTCGTGGTAGGCGTACCACCCGCTCCCATTTCATAATACCTTGTGGTAGGCGTACCACCCGCTCCCATTTCATAATATCTTGTGGTAGGCGTACCACTCGCTCCCATTTCAATCCAACACAATATAACAAAATAATCCCAGCTAGGGGACAACAATAATAACTTCCCGGCAAGGGAACAAAATATCAAATCAAATGTCCCGGCAAGGGAGAATTAGCTATTTCCACACCCGTTCCAATATCTAGCTGCCACAGCTATAATCAATCTTGTTACTACACCTAACCACCTCAGCTATAACCAACCTATTACAACACTTAACTACCTCAGCTATAACCAACCTATTACAACACTTAACTACCTCAGCTATAACTATAGTCATCACTCAACACAAGGAAGCATTAACCTAAGCGTCCGTAATATCAATTAAGAACACAATACAAGGGAACCACAACTCAACAATAGCCCGCCAAGGGGCAACATAATGATCTTTTCTCTTTCTCACTTTTACTTCACAATTCACTTCACAACTCGAGCCAATGCTCTAGAGGTTCAATTATCACTTATACTTTCGCAATACGTTCTACAACTGGAGCCAACGCTCCTCAATAATCATAAGTCACGATTCTTTCCACAACTTTACACAACAAATAGAAATACTCACCAAGGCATGAATAATACGACGAAGTCATGAAATTCACAATATAAGACTCACGGTCATGCTCGACACCAACGTATAGATACTCGTCACCATGCCTATACGTCGTACTCCACAAGAAACACATAACAAATATGACTCAACTCCTAATCCCTCAAGCTAAGGTTAAACCGAACACTTACCTCGATGCTTTGAATTCAACTCAAGTCTCAATTATAGCTTTACTCCTCGATTCCACCACCAATCCGCTCGAATCTAGTCACAAGTTACTTAATTACATCAATAAACGCTAAATGAATCAATTTGAATGCATAAAAATGAATTTTCCAAAGTTTTTTCCAAAAAGTCCAAAAACGCCCCCGGGCCCACGTGGTCAAAACCCGAGGTTCGAACCAAAATCCGGTTACCCATTCCCCCACGAATCCATATCTATGATTTGTTTTGAAATCGGACCTCAAATTGAGGTCCAAATCCCCAATTTTAGAAAAACCTAAGTTCTACCCAAAATACACAATTTCACCCATGAAAATCCTTGATTTTAAGTTGAAAACATGTTAAATGATGTTATAATGATTGAAAGAAATGAGTAGAAACTAACTTACAATTGATTTGGAGAAGAAGGATTTCTTGGAAAATCGCCTATGGGTGTTTGAGTTTGAGAAAGTGTGAAAAATGAAACTCAAAATCGGCTAAGTATAAAATTTGCTGAGCCTCAGATGTGGGAATTGCGAAGTGGGTTCGCATTTGCGAACCGTGCAGGCTTGGGAAATGCGAAAGGAAGTTCGCATTTGCGAACTCTAGGAAATCTGGGCTTGTTCGCATTTGCGACCTCTAGCCGACACACTTCGCAATTGCGAAGGAGGACCTCGCATTTGCGAGCCAAGGCGGGCCTGGGCTGGGTTCGCATTTGCGAACCAGCCTTCGCATTTGCGAACCAGGCTTCGCAATTGCGAAGCCTGCAGGCCTGTTCATACCAGCAACAATTTCTGAGATTTCTAAGGTCAAAATGCAACTCGACACATATCCAAAACTCACCCAAGCCCTCGGGGCTTCAAACCAAACATACACACAACCTCAAAAACATCTTACGGACTTACTCGTGCGATCAAATCGCCAAAATAACATCATATACATCGGATCAAGCCTCAAAACTCATGATTCCTTCCAAATTTTCATAAAACATCAAATTTCCATTTTAAGTCCTAAACACGTCAAACGACGTCCGTTTTCAACCAAATTTTACAGAAAGTGCTTAAATCATATATAAGACTTGTACCGGGCGCCGGAACCAAAATACGGGCCCGATACCATAGTCTTCTAATCAAATTTCATTTCCAATTTCCTTAATTATTTCCAGAGAATAATTTCACACAAAAATTCATTTCTCGGGCTTGGGACCTCGGAATTCAATTCCGGGCATACGCCCAAGTCCCATATTTTTCTACAGACCCTCCGGGACCGTCGAATCACGGGTCCGGGTCCGTTTACCCAAAATGTTGATCGAAGTCAAATTTATTCATTTTAATATCAAAATTTAGCATTTTTCTCATAGAATTCATATTTAAGCTTTCCGGCTACGCGCCCGGACTGTGCATGCAAGTCGAGGCAACCCTAAACGAGGTTTTCAAGGCCTCGGAAGCACAAAATGGGTAAGAAAACAGGTGATGACCCTTTGGGTCGTCACAAGCTCACAATCTTGTCTGTGTGCTATTGCCTTTAACTATTATATTGCAATTCTGCAAAGCTTCGAGTTACCTTTATGTTATCCTTTACAAAACTTGAGGACTAGTAATATAACAAGTTAACCTTTTAAACCAAAAAATAAAAACAAAACTTGAGGACCATGGGGAGCATAACTACATTATCATGTCAAAGTCGAGTTCACCAATTAACATAGATCTGACTGTCTGTGTGAACGCCTTCCACCTTCATTCTTCAACCTTCAAGTATGGAATTGAGAGACGAATGATTTGCGTTGATGTTTATTTGTTTTGTGACTCTGTCTATAAGAAAAGAGTATTTACTAAAGATCCTTTGCATTAAAACATGAGTTTTCCGAACCAAAGTAATGAGATGTTGTATGTTGCTTGCCTAATTCACTAGTGAGTGACTACCTGTCCTCCATCATGCTGATGATCTTTCTTTTCGTATATAAGGATTTTCTTTTCTATCAGGACCATTATTATGTATGTCAGTTGCTCACATACTGAATCTTGGCCAAAAAGTAGAGAGATGTGTCAATCAAACTGTTTGCACAAGATTTTCCACCTTCTCTAGAAGGATTGCAAAGTGTGATTTTTTGAGTGATTTAGCCTATTTTTTCAGGAAAAGAAGGAAGCAACAAAAGAAGACTTGGACTCGGAGTCTGAGGCTCCATCAAGAGCCTTGAGCTGGTAATTTCAGGGGTCTGTTTCTTTCAGTTTTCTTTTTCTGTGTCAATTCTTGTATATAAAGTAATTAAACGTGCAAAGCCTGGTTGGGCTTCCTTGTTTTAAAGAGAAGGCTTTTGTAAACCTAGATTTTTTTTTGAACTCCCAACTGAGTTTATATAAGTTCGGCACAGCCTCTTTCCCTGGATACCCGGGAAGATGCTAAAAGTGATGCAGTTCTGTTGTCTTTCTTGTTAGAGGTTCTGTTTGAAAGCGCGAGATTGCTTAATTTTAATTTGAAACAGTGTTAAGGGGATGATATCTCTTCCCTGTATTTTGTATATCGGATGAACTAGAGTTTCAAGTATCTTGTGATGGTGAGGTGAGTTTTGCTTTGTTATCCTCGCCCCTCTTTTTTCCTTTTCTGTTAAGCAATAAGAGAGTAGGGATACCGTTTCCACAAGGCATAAAGAAGCATATAATTTTCATGCACGTGCATATACGCTCGTCATCTCGAATATGCGTTACTCTCACATGTAGCAAACAAATACCATGTAGTAGGAGAAATTTCCTCAACAAAGCTAGACAAGATACTTACCTTATTTTGGAATAATTTTCACAATCCAATACTGTCTCCCTTAGAAATACTTCTCAAAATGATCAAAATCTAGTCAAATATCATCTAAGGAAATCAAACAATATTAAAAAAAAACATCCCCAGTTAATAAGAATTCAATATTTGCAATGAACAAGTATCCACTGCCGCGCGTTAATGATTTATTTGATCAGCTTTAGGGTGCTCGGTTTTTCTCAAAGATTGACTTTATCGGGGTATCACCAGTTAAAAATTAGGGCTTCAGAAGTCGGTTTTAGGACTCGTTATGGGCATTATGAGTTTTTGGTGATATCTTTTGGTTTGACCAATGCCCTAACAACTTTCATGCATTTGATGAAAAGTGCGCTCCACCATTATTTGGATTCTTTTGTCATTTTGTTCATTGATGATATTTGGTAGAGCCGTCAATATGGGTCGGCCCGAGTTACCCCAGCCCACATAGGTTTTAGCAATTGATGGGCTAGGCTAGGCTAGGCTAGCCCACCATTTTGATGGGCCTTATAATGGTCACCCCATCCCAATCCTATGTGGGCCGCGGCAAGGGCCGACCCATCATTTTTTTAAAATATAATTTTATATTTTTTTATTTAAGTTCCAACCTAAAAAAAGATAAATATTTAAAAGTTAAAAAATATCTTATTGAAATAATTTCACAAAACTTAGTGCCTTTTTATACTGTCTCAATATATCACAATAAACACTAAAAAGGTAAAAGACAAGACTATATTTCATTCACTAAGGGTGTGTTTGGTATAACAGAAAATTTTTTCCAAGAAAATATTTTCTTGGAAAACAAGTAGTAATCTTATTCATTTTCCGGTGTTTGGTACGCAAATTAAGGAAAATGACTTCTCAAGAGTATTCATAAATAATTTGAATATAATAAACACGAAGCCATAAACTTTCAAACTAACAACCTTCCGGACCCACAAATTTCATAAACTTTCAAACCTCTAAACTTTCAAAACCGCGAAATTTCGAACCCGTAAACTTTATAATTTCTAAACCCGTAAACTTCCATACACATATACCTCCGAACTCATAATTTTGGAACTTGTAAAATTTTGAGCCTTTAAACCGATAAATAATAAAATTAAAACTGAAAATATATTTAAATTTTTGTGTGTGTGTGTGGTGGGGGGGTGAGGTGTCGTAGTGGGGTGGGGGGGGGGGGGAGTATAAACGAAAAAAAAAACAGAAATTTAAATTACAAGTAAATTTTTTTGTGCCTGGGGGTGGGTGGGGGTAGGGGGATGTGGGTAGTGCAGAAAAATGAAAAAACAAAAATTTGAATTTTTTTTTTTTGCGGGAGGGGGAAGGAGGGGTAGTAGGGTGGGTGGTAACGGAAAAACGAAATTAGAAAAAAAAAAATCTTTTTTTGGAAAGGGGGTAGGGTGGGTTGGTGAGGGTGGGGAAGGTTGAGAAGGAGCTTTGAAAAATGTTTTCCCTTCTCTTGATATGGAAAACATTTTCCTCCAATTGGAAGAAAATGAATTGATAAGGAAAATGTTTTCCAAAACATTTAAGGCAACCAAACATGGGAAAATTGGAAAACATTTTTCGGAAAATATTTTCCTTCATACCAAACACACCCTAAAAGTCAAAACTCAAAACAAACTATTCAAGTAAACGTCCATGACGCTTATGAGATATCCAACACATCATCTTCATCAAACATATTTGAATCCGCTTGACAAAGTTGTCATAACATCTTCACTTGCATCTACATCTACAATTCATATGTAAGAATAGTTAAATTTTAAAAATTAATAATATTCAAATTAACATAAAAAATATTATCAATTAGAATTGGGAAAAGCCGTGAAGCCAATTTCGAGTAGTAACTAGTGTTTGGACATTTTCATGATGGATGCAACTCCTGTACTTTGTCAGAACACACCCGCCAATGCTAAATGTTGATTCTGATGTTACAGTGGTAATAGAAATACTAAGTACATCACGCGCCATCACTGAAAGATCGAGATATTTTCTAGAATGGTCCTTCTAAACATTATAACATCCATCTCTTGAAATTTCTCATGATCAAGCTTTGGTTCCTCTAAGTAAAGATCCAATTACTTTCTATCGCTAGAGGCAATATATTTCATACATTTTAAATAAATATTTTTATCAGGCCTACAGGTCGGCCCAACCTAGCCTCAGTCAAGCCTCACGGGCCACGAGCTTACTCGGGCCGAGTTTAAAAGTCTCGTTTTTAATGGGCTCTAAAAAATCTAGCCCAAACCCTGCTAAATTACGGGCTAGGTTGGGCTGGCAGGGACAATGGGTCAAGCCCATATTGAAGGCTCTAATATTTAGTATATTCACATAGTAGGGAGGAGCACGAGCAGCATTTGAGGATTGTGCTTTAGATTTTGAGGGGGGAGACGTTTTTTGGCTAAGTTCTCAAGTGTGAGTTTTGGTTGGCCAAGGTGCTATTCTTGGGCCACGTGGTGTCTAGTGATAGTATCAAGCTGGATCCAAAAAAAATTAAGACACTTCAGAGTTGGCTCGAACCTTCTACCGCTACAGAGATCAAGAGTTTCTTAGTTTTGGGGGGCTACTAACATCGCTTTGTAGATGGATTTTCATCTATTGCAACTTTATTGACCAAGTTGACTTAGAAGGGCGCTCCGTTCAGATGGGCTAACGAGTGTGAGGAGATATTGCAGAAGCTTAAGACTGTTTTGACTACTGGTCCAGTTTTGATATTGCCCTCAGGGTCAAGGATGTATATAGTTTATTGTGATGCTCGGCATGTTGGGCTTGGGTGTGTGGTGATGCATGATGGTATGATGATTCTTTCAATTGATGGAGCCGGCATACTTATCGTGGCAGACTTATGAGGCAAGTAGGCCAGCTAGTGCAACGCCACTGACATGGTCCTAGTTCTCAGATTTTTTCTTGGGGGAGTTTATCCCACAGATCCGTAGGGATGAGTTGCGCAATAAGTTTAAGCATTTGCGCCAAGAGGGTATGACTGTGACCCAGTATACTTTGAGGTTTACAGAGTTATCACACTATGCAAATACTAAAATTTAATTTCGCCGAATTAGTTTAAAGATATATTTATAAAATTTGATGTGGTTCTTGGACAGGACAATAGCAAGCTAAAGTTAACTATTTTAAGTAAAAAGCTTTCTACGTTGGGGAAGAATCAAGGATGCAATAGCTATGGTTTTCGATATCCACAAACACGATTAATTCAAACTCATGTCGTGTATGACCTATTAAATAAGGAATATTTGTTAAAATAGGAACTTAAACAAAGAGAAAAATATTTGAAGAGTAATTAAAGGAGGTTTTCAAGGAGGACGGAACCAAAATATTAGTTTTTTGGACTCAAATCACCAAAATAAGTTGGGTTGGGGGGGGGGGGGGAATTGGTGACCTTTTTATACATTGCGCATGAATTACATGCGCTATACCTGTTAATTGACTGTCCCACAGTAATTGTTGGGTATAGCGCATAAATTAAATCTACTATATATAGCGTATTTATTAAATGCGCTATATTTATTAAATCTACTATATGACAAGGTTCCTAGAGAAGTCTTTTGGAGATACTTGGAGGTAAAAGGTGTGTCGGTTCCCTACATTATGGCGATTAAAGACATGTATGATGGGGCTAAGACTCGGGTAAAGACAGTAGGAGGCGACTCTGAGCATTTTTCGGTTGTTATGGGGTTACACCAAGGCTCTGCGCTCAGCCCGTTCTTATTCGCCCTGGTGATGGACGCGCTAACACACCATATTCAAGGGGAGGTGCCATGGTGTATGCTATTCACCGATTACATAGTTTTGATTGATGAGTCGCGTACCGTTGTTAACGAGAGGCTGGAGGTTTGGAGACATGCTCTTGAGTCTAAGGGTTTCAAGCTGAGCAGGACGAAGACGGAATACCTGGAGTATAAGTTCACCACTGAGCCGGGGGAAATGGGCGTGGATGTGAGGCTTGACTCACAGGTCATCCCAAGTAGATGCAGCTTCAAGTACCTTGGATCGGTTATCCAGGGGGGAGGGGAGATCGACGAGGATGTCACACACCGTATTAGGGTATGATGGATGAAGTGGAGGTTAGCATCTGGAGTCCTGTATGACAAGCGAGTGCCACCGATACTCAAAGGTAAACTTTATAAAGCGGTAGTTAGACCGGCCATGATGTACGGGGCTGAGTGTTGGCCTATTAAGAACTCACATATCCAGAAGATGAAAGTAGCTGAAATGAGGATGTTGAGGTGGATGTGCGGGCACACTAGGATGGACAAGATTAGCAATGATGATATTCGGAAGAAGGTGCGCGTGGCTCCCATTGATGACAAGATGCGGGAAGCGAGGCTGAGATGGTTCGGGCATATACAGAGGAGAAGCCCAGATGCTCCGGTAAGGAGGTGTGAGCGGCTAGTTGTGGAGGGCATGAGAAGAGGCGGCCTAAGAAGTATTGTGGAGAGGTGATCAGGCAGGACATGGCGAGGCTTCAGATTTCCGAGGACATGACACTTGATAGGAAGATGTGGAGGTCGAGTATTAGGGTTGTAGGTTAGGAGGTAGTTGGGTCTTGCATTAGTTCGTTCTGTTGCTAGAGTAGTCTTGTAGGGTTTTTTCTAGGTAACGGATGGCAATGTCGGGTCTTACTATTTCTTTTTTAGTGTCGGACCTATTTACTAGTTATCGCTTTTGTTTTGCAGCTTTTTCTGGATTTTATGTTGTTCCTGTTTTTCTTATATTTTCTTATGGTTTCTGTGATAATACTGATATTGTCTCTTTTGTCTTTTTGTCTTCTT